ATTTTATGGCAATTGATGATATGCAATGTACAGTACATATTGCATATTCAGAATCAAGATTTTGAAATGCACAACCGTTTGCATAAAAATTTAAATTCACAACCTTTTAAATAATTTTACGATAAAAAATATTACAAAGAAATATATAAAGATAAATGAAAACTAATGGTTTTATATAAAATTTAGTATAAATTATAAGTTATTACTTTTCAATAAGTATGTATGTGTGTGTGTGTGTGTATATATATATTATATTATATACTAACAGAGTATCACACCTGTAAAATATAAGTGATAATTTATAAAACTAGATGGAATTTAAATCTAACTTATATAATAATAATTTGTATCAAAAAATTAACATTTATGATACAAAATTTTACATTTTCATAATGAAGAGCACTACCATTTTAAAAACAAGTACTCAAAGCAATTATAATTTTTGCAAATATATTAGTATACATAGCTAATTTTTTTACAAAACTATATACAATGTACATTTTAATCAATGTATTCGATCAAGTCTTATATACAAAAACAGTCCATCTTTGGCCATCAAAATTAATGACAGATTTACTTTATACCTTTTAATCTCTCGTTACATTCTGAATAATTTTCCTGCCAGACAACAATTAAAATCTCTAGTTTTGGCTTTAGGCAACAATTCAGAATGTTGTCAAACAGTATGGAACTTGTATGATGACATTAACAAAAATTACTATTATCATTTGGAGTTGGTCCCTTCTTTGGCAGGATATCCAAATTTATAAATTGGAATATGAATATAGAGAAATACATGTGTGATTGTAACTATTTCTAATTTTATGGCAGGAACATTTTTCTTTAAATATTTGAGCATTTGTTTTTTAATATCACATACTGGCCATTGGGTTATAATAATAGCAAGCATTAAGATCTATTAAAATTTTCAATTATTGCTTATTTCTACAGATTTAGGAACAATTAAGTATATATTTTTAGTAATGTAAAACTTAGAAATACAGTACTTATTTCTAATACAAAATATTAAAAAATATATATGTATGTAAAACGGAAGCATATAAAAATCAGATAATTAAAAACGACTATAAGAAAAAAATAAGTTAAAAATACATATTATAAAAGCTCGTGACGATCTGTTTTTATACATGATTGAAGATCATGTATAAAAAAAGCTTAATAATAAATAGTATAAAGCAGCTTCAGAAGAATTATAAAGAGCAAATTCATGCCATGGGAGAAAATAATATATTGCATTAAAGTACCTTAATTGGTTATTTTTAAGTATAAAAGTTATGAATTTTACTTAAATATTTTTTTAGCAAGTTAATTATTATATTAATGAACTGCACAGAAAATTTTGAAATTACAAATATACTTTCTAATAATTTATGTATATAGTCTTCAAATATGACATATTCATTTACTGATAAATAAAAATTAGAATTTTTCTTAACTTTCAAAGAAATACATCAAGTTTAAAAAATTCTTTTCTGTTAATAATACATAAATTATTTCATGTCTTAACATAGATTTTTTGTATTTAACACTTGTCCTTTGGTCCCTAGATTCTCAAAATACTTAATAGTAACTATGCACACATGAATACAAAATACATACAATCTTAGAAATGCATACAAAATATCTTGTATTTTTCCATAATTAATTATACAGTACATCTAATCCTTGATTTACATCACAGATTGATTCTGTGAAAGTTTCATGCATACATTGAAATCATGTGAACTAAGATTAACAATTATATGGGAAATAAGGAAAAAGGTTCAAAGGATCTATAGTTTCCATTTATGTTAGTCTCAGTTTCCATAATTTTAACTTTCACAAAACTTTTATGAACCAGCCTACCATGTGAATTGAGGATTAACTGTATAGAATGCTCTGAAAATCAATGTTATGTGTATTGGTAACAAATTGAGAATAGTAGTAAATGTACTGCTTCATTCTTTTTATTTACACAAATGAAATTTTAAATTTATTTTGTATAAAAAAAATTTATGAAAAAGTGTAATAATAATGAGAAAAATGAACTGATGACATCAGACACTAATATATGCTAACAAATTTGCAAAATTAACATTATTTATAATTGCTACTTGTCCTATTCAATGAATTAAATGATAGACAAAGATTTTTATTACAATGAACTATGGATTTTAAAACTATTCTGCATGTTTTGCAAATATGGAAATGGAACAGGTAATTAAGATTATTTTATAAAAAATATATGTGAAAATATAGACAGTTGTTTTTACACACATTTTAAAATTCATGATCAGAATGTTATGTTATTTCCAAGACAGTTAAATCTGTTTTGAACAAAAATTATTTGAGCCTGTATCAGTATTATTCCAAAAGTTTATAATTTAACATTAATAATCTTTTTGATATTTTAAATAAAATGATAGAACAAATTTTTTTATTGTTGAAAACATTCATGTTGTCTGCCTGGAACTGAGAATAATAAAAAAAAAGTTATCAATATTTTAAAAAATTAATATTGTAAAGCTTAAGATTTATTTTTTCATAATGAAAAACAGTTGTCTTTAGTTGCTTTTAATAAACTGAATTCTTTTTTTTAATACAGATAATTAGAATTTATTGTTTTGTATTTCATTATATTATTTTCTAAATTTCGTATTCAAAAATATAGTGTTGGGTATAATTCTGTTCACGATTCTTACAGAATATAAATTAAATATAAAAATCTAACTGTTTATCAGTTAGTTTAGTACTTTCGTACATTTAAATTTTTATTTGACCAGCATTTTAAATGGCAATATTAGTTTGTCTGAAAGTCATTGTAACTTTTACTTACTACACTGATATTTCTGTGTAAGATTATTTGGTGGTAAATGGCATTACTATTTATACTTGAAGGACAATCATATTTTAATTACAGCTGATAAAAGCAGCTGTTTAAATAAAATTTTTGTATGATATTATGCTATAAGAAATAGGCTTTCAACCCTGGAAATTATGTGGAAAGACTGCAATTGATAAAATAAATTACTACTACTAATAATTTTTCCAGAAACTAGACATAATTAAACAGAAAAAATTAAATTGAAACATTACTATCAAGCATTTACAAATGAACTAGCAGATATTGATATAATCAAAACTATAATAGATAGACACAATTTTCTAGAAAATATCTAGCATAATATGCTGACTATTAAGTATATCTTATAACAGTATTATTATGATAATTGTTGTTTTGGTCACAAAATTCCTCATTTAATGATATATATTGTCATTTGCCATTGTATATTTCATTAATTATTATATTGTCAACTGAATCCACTTGATTAACCCTGTTAATGGAAAAAATCAACATAACTGTATTTTTAACTTAAAGCTTAATGATAATTGATTTATGACTGCAACACAATAAAGAAGATTCAAATTTGACATCTTGAAATGAAGCATTAAGATATGCACATAACATAAGAGTGTTATGTTTAGAATATAGTCTGATAACACTGAACACACATTCATTTAATGCATGTGCTATACTGTATAATTAGTCAGACATATAATTTCAAGTTTTAATTAGCAACAAAACTTTAGAATTATATCCTTATATAATATAATTAAAACAAATACTCAGATTATCTGTGTGTTCATATTTTAATAAAAAGTCTGTTTTTAACTTTGTTTTAGATACACCAAAAAAATTTTTTTTTGAATTTTAATAGAAAGCAAAAATAATTCAAAAAATTTTCTAATAAATTAAAATTGATTAGTTTCTTCCATGTTACTTATAATTGAAATTTTTTACAATTTTTTTTTTGTTTTTAATTCATTGTGTGTATTATGTTTACTATATGTTGCTAGTTATTGACACTGTCATTAAATGTTTATTATGAATGTTTTGGAGCTTTTGTCATTCATGATACATGTTTAGTATAATCTGATTTGTTCATCTTGAATTGGACAAAGCATGCATATAAATATAAAATTTATTTTTTAGGATAAAATGGTAATTGAAGTTGTACATTACAAAAAAAAAATGTAATGTAGTTTTTCCATGATTACAAAGAATTAAAATCAATATTTCTTTAAGAAAAATCAAATTAGCAATGGGAAGACTGTCTATGGAAAGAATTTTTAAAATAAATTATCATAGGTATTAACATTATTTTACTTATTTCAATGATAAAAACTTCATATTCAAATATATTAATTTAGAATTTCATAATTAGTGACAATGTTGATTTTATGACATTGTAAAACAATATTTCGAAAAATAAACTGTATAAAATTATAAATATTAGTGTATGAGATGTAATGAAACTCCATGCCAATATTTTAGGGATAGATTCTAAATTCAAAAAGACGTTTAAAATCTTCTATATATATGTTTTTCAATTTCTTTTTGAGATCTGGCATGGATAAGTTTCAAATTCCTGTCAAAGTGTCAATCCTACAGTTGTCAATTTTTTTAAAGTAATTTTTACACACATTTTTAATGCTTCTGTCAACAGATGGAGACAAGTAAATGTTGCCCAAGTATGCTGCTGCTATAATAAATGTAAATAGTCTTTCAACATGTCCTTTACAGATGCACAACTGATTATTTTCAAAATTTGGTCTCCCAAAAAATGTGGAATTTGAAAAATGTTTATAGAGGATTTTAAAACATGACCCTAGAATTTATCCCTAAAATATTTTTAGTTTTGTTACATCTTATATATTCACAAATAAAGAAATTTTCAAAAAATTTAAATTATGTATTTTATAAGATTTTTTAATGTAAATGCTTTATAAATTCTCATGAGTAGTTAACATTGATTGTCAGAGCATTTTTAAAATGTTAATTAATTAATTTTATGTGACTTTACAATAATAATAATAATGAAAAATATNGTGAATTGCAAAGATGCCCATCCTGCCTACTCCCAGAAATGCCCTGCATGGCAACAAGAAAGAGATTCAATGGGTGAAAACTGCTAACAATTTACATTACCCAGAGGCTCTCATAAATAAAAGCAACAACCTATTTACAGTTGCTTCTAAAGTTTGAATAAAAAAAAAGAAAGGTATCATCACTTACTTTTTTGTTTTTAAAAACTTTGTACTTTTTTAAATATTTATAAATAATTGAAGAATAAGATATTTAAAAGAAATTAAGCTTGTAAATAAGATTTTTAAGATTGAACAAATGTGATATGATCACGATCATCTTGCCTATTATATATATTGCTAGAAGGAAAAGAGGCATTTTCGTATTCATTACTAAGTGACCTAATCAGTTCTTCGGCAGTCATAGGGGCCATTCTCATATTGTGTGGTGACACATCATAATCATATAATGTTACATTTACATCTCCGAATATTTCATCCACATCTCCTAGCATTTCGTCGCAGCTAGAAGAACTACTTGCATATGAAGATCCTGTAAGTGGACTAAGTGAAACAGATGGACTAGCACTCATGGTTGTGCTTGATGTTGAAAAATTGAGCATTATCGAAGGCAGAACATTGTTGCTTACAGTTTGTGAAACTGTAGCAGGAGGCATCAACGTGTGCAAGGATGGACTATAATCTGCAGGTACTTGATTTTGAGTAATTACATTTGCACTAGGATTTTCATTATCCACATTGTTTGAAAATCCATTTACATTAGCCACATTATTTTCTAACGTAGAAAAATTGAGAACTGAACTCCAATTAAGACTTGTTAACCTATCATTTTCATCCAAACATAAGGCACCAGTATCCATTTTATCATTTGTTCTCACAAAAGGTGTTATTCTTCCAGATATTTGTAAATCATGAAGATTCTTGCTATATTCACTATTGATATCACAACTTTCATCATTATTAATGGGAGAAATAGCATCACATTTCAAATTATCTGTGTCATTTAATGAAACAGGATGAGTGCTCATGGAGGAATTGAATGAAATCTGAGGCATGTTAGGATGATTAATGTTCAGTTCTGACACTGTATGGTTACTGGATGGAAATTGATTGCATTCATAGGAGATTTTATAACCATCTTCCTCCAGTTCTTTTCCTAAAATACGCACTGTGTTGTAAAGTAAAACTGATGGGAGTAAACGGGGATCTGGTCCTTTACGAAACTGATCAAGTTTACATTTACTGATGTGAAAAAAACACAGCCTCTGTTGTATATCAGTATCTTTGGTAATTTCAGATCCTTCATTATGATCCAATTTTCGTTTAATACCACGTTGATGAGTACTACTGAGCATGGCACTTATGTGGATATTCTTCGTGGAAATACACTGAAATTAAAGAAAAACTTTTAGTATTGAAATTTTTATAACAAAAATAAAATTTTATTTAATTCTATAAAATCAAATTTCAAAATGCACTATGAATTTTATATATGAATTTTTTTTAATATAGCTTTTAGTTTTCATCAAGTGTTTTATAGTCTGCAAATAAACCTCAATGCCCTCTTACATTCTATATTTAATTGTACAAATTTTCTTATTATAAAAAAACTAAAAGTTTTTCGAGTTTTCTTTGAATTATTTCATTAGAAATTGGTGGCAGACTGACCAGTGTGTTAGCTTGCCTGATGGTAAGTGGACCCTCCTTAAACATTAGACAGTGTGTTAAAAATGTTAATGGCCTTTTAGTATATTAAAAATATTAGAAGGTTCAATATTATTACTATAAGCAAATAAAATGTATGATATATACACACAACAATTTAGACAACTAAATTGCAATTGCAGACTTTATAAAATGTATGCAAAAATTTTCAAAAGAATAACCACTGCTGAGACTAATAACTTCTCCTTTGGAAAATTTCTACATATGTTTAAAATTTGACATATTACTACTACTATGTTGGGCATAGATTTATACTCAGTTGCCTCTCGATGTCAGTTCCTGTCCACGGTGAGGGGACCTCCCAGAGATGATTTAGTATTTTTCCTATACCATCTCTGGGATCTGAAAGCCCACCCTATATGTGTGACTCATATGACAGGAAGGAGAGATCCTGATAGTTGAAGGACGACAAACTGTTCCCAACACACTTCTTAGGCCCTTGCTCTGTATAAACAGGAGGCTCAAATCGGGCTCCATTTGAGTCAATCGGCTGGTCGCTGAGTCATTCTTGACCTTGGCCTGGAGTCAACTGATTGATGCAGACCAGGTGGACACGTCTGCTTGACAGTTTTATCATGTCAGACAAGATGTGCTCTTCTTGACTGCATTGTTAGGGAATAGCTCCTGGGAAACCCTGGTGTGACAGTCTATGGGAATCTCCCATGAGACGGCATCCCCTCGTTGTACCCCAACGTGGGTGAGGTCACTCTGGGAGCTGAATAACTTCCTAGTAATCAAGGACTCAAAAATCACGACATGTCTGTGTACAGAACAATCGCCTACAAACAACAGCAGCACTTCCAGTCAGCCAGCCTACTTGATAGTGCATGCTACTGCAGAAAAACCACCATCCAAAAGCTCCCCTTTTCTGATTCAAAAGCTATTTGAGTCAACTATTTGGCATCCAAAAAAAGTACAAAAATTGAGATCGGGACCTACTGCTGGAGACTACATCACCTCAGCAATTAGCAAGACTTTTTGCAATGAAGACTTTAGGAGACATTGAAATTAGTGTCACACCACACAGTAGCTTAAACTCATCACATGATAAAAATCTGATGCCCAAAGATGATTCAGATATTGAGACTGGCCTTTCAGATCAAGGTGTCACTGCTGTTTGATGCATTTCAATTCATTGAGATGGCAGGCTGAAACCTACAAAACACCTTATTTTGACATTGTCAACTTCTTTTGTAGCAAGCTACACTGTCCAGTTTGTCCATGTACCCACTGTGCTGCTTTAAACATTTAAACAGTTTGAACATTCACAAGCTTTCTGTCAAGGAAAAAGTACATGTGCACAGTGTGGAACTAAAGGTCATGAGAGTACTGACTGTAAAGGTGCTGTGTGAATTGCAAAGATGCCCATCCTGCCTACTCCCAGAAATGCCCTGCATGGCAACAAGAAAGAGATTCAATGGGTGAAAACTGCTAACAATTTACATTACCCAGAGGCTCATCATATGGTCACTTCAAGTGCACCAATGAAACAGAAGACATTTGTTGCTGTTTTAAAATACACAGAGACATGTGGAGTTCAGATATTTATGTTTTTCCAAATGAATCTCTCATTCACCATACTAAATATTTTCTGCTGTTTGTTTAGCTGGAAGCAGTAAAGGAGAGTACAAAGACAAAAACACCTAACTAAAACAGGGGCAATAATAATAATAATAAATGTGGATTCTAAAAAGGCAAATAAGAACCCACTTAACAAACAAAAAGTGATCTCTAAATCTTCAAAAAAAAATCAGAAGCTCAGTCTATGAGTGAGTTCTCTGACAAAGAGACTAAACCAACCTCACCTCCAAAAGAAAAACCACCTGTGAAATTAAAAGAGGGATGCTTTCACAAAGAATGCTGCCTCAAACACAATGTATTATAAAATAATTCAATGGAACTGTCCTGGTTTCCACAACAACAACTCTGACATTAAACACCTAACATCATCTATCCCATCCCTCTGTATGGCACTCTAGGAAACACATTTGAAACCTGGAGAAACAGTATCTTTAAAAGGATTTGATCTCCACCTTGATGATGATAGTCACAGCCATGCCAATGAAGGTGTGTGTATACTGATTTCAAATCACATCCCATCCTTGCTGAGACAAATAAGAACAGACTTACAAGCAGTGGCAGTTAATTTCATTTGGAGTGACTATCACGGTTTGTTCTATATACCTGCCACCAGATGTCTGAGTCAACCAGGATGAATTGGATGCTTTGGCTGATCAGCTGCCTACTCCTTTCCTCTTGGAGATTTTGATGGCCACAATCCTATGTGGGACAGTTGAGGGAGATCGTCGAGGCAGAGCCATTGAAAGATTCATAGGTAATCAGCAACTGTACGATGTATCTATTCAATACTGAAGAAGTGACATACCTTCATACCCCAACAAGAACATTCACCACAATTGATTTGTCATTAAGAACCCCTAATTTGTTCTCAGCATTTTCCTGAAAGGTTGGGTCTAATCCACTTTCCAGTGACCACTTCCCAATATTTTTAAAATACACAGGTCAACAAAGCTATGAAAAAGCTCACTGGGCCAAATTTTCTTTGTTGGCCAACATCTCAGATGATTTGGTTAACATTCCTTATATCAATGATGCAGTTGAAGCTGTCACTTCCAATATTATCCAGGCAGCTGTCAGTACAATGGAGAAAACATCTGAAACAATGTTAAAACCAGAACTGTGAGGCAGCATACAAACAACAAAGCGTGGGGGATGTTCAGAAGACCCCCACTGCTAGCAATTTAATTGCATTTCAAAAAGCCAGAATGCCAGAAGAATAAGGAGGCAAAGCCAAAGGGATACTTGGAGGAAGTATGTATCTAGTATAACATCTTCCACCAGCTCAAAAGTAGTCTGGGATAAAATCCATAAAATTAATAGAAAATACACCTTTTGTCTTTGTCCATGCTGGAAAATAATGGCACAATAATAAGTGATATACAAGGTATTGCTGATTTGTTAGGTAAAACCTTCTCTACAACATCCAGCAATATAATGTGTTAAAGAAATTTTCAAGCTTATAAAGCCCAAATGGAAAAACAATGTGCCATTCACCAGGATTGAACTACATACAGCTCTGTTGCTCAGGGAATACTGCTGTAGATCCAGATAAAATCCATTACAGCATGATTACTAAGGGCAGATTTTTAATCTCTTGTCTGTTTACCATTCAAGGAGAAACATCCCATTTTTCACCACATCAGAGGGGATTTTATAGGAACAGAAGTACCATGGACAATTTAGTAAACCTTGAAACATCTATAAGTGAAGCACTTAGTGTCTGTGTTCCTTAATATAGAGAAGACCTATGATTGCTGCTGGCAAAATGTAACTCTGTAATCTGTACCACTCTGGACTGCAGGGTAATTTGCCAATTTTTATAAAAAACTTCCTACACAATCTAAGATTCCAAGTTAGGATGGGCACCACTTTATTTAAGTCTTTTACACAATGTGTTCTTCAAGGTTCTATTTTGAGTGTGACACTGTTCCTAATTAAAATTAAAAGCATAGCTAACTGTCTCCCTCCCAGTGTAAAACATTTTCTGTATGTGGATGACTAAGATCTCCTGTCAGTCTAGTAACATGAGCTTCATCAAGAAACAACTGCAAACCTCCTTAAATCACATATACAGTTGGTCCAAGATCAAAGGTTTTACCTTTTAACATGGAGAAAGCCTTGTGCATCCACTTTTGCCGAAGGCATGGTTTGCATTCTGATCATGAAATTTACCTAAATGGGGTTAAAATTCCAATCGTCAATGAAACTAAGTTTCTGGGTGTTCTGTTTGACAAAAATTTGACCTTCTTACCACCTGTGCAATTTGAAGAGTAGATGTCTAATCTTTAAACCTTTTAAAGGTACTATTGTCTGCTCCCCAGGATGAGCAGCAATGATCTATGCTCAGGATTTATAGAGCCCTTGTCTGCTCTAAGCTGGATTATGGATGCATTGTGTATGGCTCCATGCAAGAATCTACTTTTCAGATGCTGGATCCAATCCACCATCAATCGTTGCATTTGTGCACTGGTGCTTTTCGAACTTCTTGTCCAAAGTCTGTATGTGGATGCTTATGAGCCTCCACTATCACTTAGAAGAGAACAGTTCTCTCTTCTATTACGTTAAACTGAAATCTCAGACTAAACCTTTTGTTTATTCTATAGTATCAAATACTCAAGATTATTTTCAGCCTGTTCATTTAGTGTCCCTACATTTGACATAAGAATGGAGAATGAAAGCAGCACAATTGAATTGGACTCAAGCAACACTTCACAGCCCGAGGTTGATAGTATATTACCTCAGTCAACTAATGTGATAAAAGTAGACCTTAGCTTAAAGCATGTTCCTAAGGAATTCACTCCAGACTGTGAATTCCTTAGGAACGTGCTTTAAGCTAAGGTCTACTTTTATAGACGTCACTTTGCAGAAATCCAACATAGCCACAGGAATTTAATTCCTATTTACACTGATGAATCTAAATCAGATAACTATGTTGGCTCAGCCTTTGTCTGCCAGGATAAATCGTGGCAGAACAAATATCACCAAATTCTTCTATCTTCACTGCAGAGCTGCAAGGCTATCCACTTAGCCTTAAAGTATGTAAGTAGAAAAGGTCATCATTGCTGCATGATTTACACTGACT